GTACAAGGGAATTGATTCAGTTTTGAAAACAACCAAACAGCCTTTTTGGTGGATTTCTTTGATCTGGTTTGAGAAAAAAATATGTCAACATAAGTAAGATAGTGTTGCACTGAAGTAGTGAGAATGAGCAGCCAGGTCAAAGACACAGAATCTAAGCTAATATTATGGTAGTATTGCTGCATTATGCTATTTAATTAGCCATTTAACAGTTGTGTAAACTGAATGTTTATAATGAGTTTTCAGTCACAGAAGTTGTCAACTCATGTCTACTCGTGCTTCCTCTCCTGTTGTCCTCAGTTTATCATGGTTCACAGGTGATCTGTAGTAGGAGTACTGATCATGGAATTGTAGTAGCAGGAAGGTCATTTTAAGGCAGATAACCACCTATACTGTAGTAATGCGTAAGGTAAAAATAAATCCTTTGGGGGAGGAAGCATGATTTTTGTGTTTTCAATTTTGCCACACAGTCTTCCTGTGTGTCTTAGAACACTTAGTCTTTTGGCGTCTGTTTTTTTAGTCTCTGAAATGGGAGCAAGTGTTATTTCATAGATTTAGAACTTAATTCCTTATTGGTTCTATCTGAGAGACATGTGCTTTATTTATTAAGGTTTTGGCTTGCAATCTGCATGTGAGGCACACTCAGCCTACAGCTTTCATTTAGTAAGCTGTGCTGAAATCAAATCTTGTATCGTTTTTTTTGAGTAATGCCATTTACCCACAGAGAAGTGCATATCAGAGAGAATGTGGACCTTTCCAACCTGTGTAACCTCCTTTAATAAAGATACAGTTACTGCAGTTGACCTCTTGTGAAAAGTGGATCCATTTGTGTTTTTATTCTGTGGCATGAATAGAAGATATAACAGAATGGGCACTGTTCACTGGACGTGGGAATTCTCCCTTGTGGTGACTCATGTAGAGCAGCAGGGAGGGGGAGGAAAATGGGCTCCACAAACCCAGTATCCAGTGTTGTTATTTAAAAACTTTTTTGATCTGAACTTTGTACATTTAATAATCCAGAGGGTATTTAGAAGTTTGATAAAAGTCCATAGTAGTGCAAGAGAAAGATAAGGCTTACTATTGTACTAAAACAATGTTGTGGTGCCAAGACAGTATGTTTATGCTTTTTTGTTGCAAGACTAACAGTGCCCATCAAACTTTGTGTAATTTGGTATTATGCTAAGTAAAGGAAAAAAAATACCCAGTCATTCTCTAGGTTGCTATAAAAAATGCTTTAAGCTTAATGCACAACTGCATTGCAAACCAGTCCATTAGCAGGATGTATTGCTTCACAGCAGCTGGGAGTAATTCAGTGTGGTGAAATTACCAATGTGGTGGAGGCCGGGATGATTTCTTTTTGGTAGAATAGAAAAGATACTATTTTTTTTCCACTATAATCAACTATTATTTTGCCAATATGTTTTCTAATGTGTCTTGCAGAGTTTCATGATAGAAATTTTCATCCAGCTTTGAAAAACTATTCCACCATTGTGGTCAGTCAGTTTTTAGCATGTATGAAAGAACCATCACTGCCAAGTTTTCCTTCAAGCCTGTGAAGTCAGAGTTGCAAGGAGCAGGACAAAGCCTCTATAAGCTTTAGGAGCTAATAGGGAATTGCAAACTCTTTGTTTATTGCACCTGGCACTTTCTCAAAATCTGCTTTGTAGGGGTCAAAACCACTCATTTCATCAAGCAGATAAGGAGGATGCTTTCTCTCCCTGAGTCAAAGCTCTGTGATGTTGTAAATAAGGCAGTATAAATGTATATTTTAAAAAGTGCACTTTCTAGAGGGATTTCAGCTAGCACGTTGCAAACTTTTAGAAGACCTGAACTTCAGGACTAGTTAAACTGATGAAGTTAAAAAGTATAGACTTTAAAACCACCTGCTATCACAAGAGCTAAAACATGAATTATGCCTGAATTGCCTGAAAAGGGGTTTTTAAGCACACTAAACACATAATAAATTGAAAATAAATGCTTCCCAACCACCCTTTTCAAGAGCATTATGGTGGGTTTGAGACCCGTGGCACAAACTCTGGGGAACCTACCTCTGTCAGAGCTCCATTGGAGAGGAAACATAAGGAAATGTGCTCCCCCCATCCTCCCCCACCAACTTTTTTCAAGGCAATGACTCAGGATCCTTTTATGCAAGTTTCTCAATAAATATATTTTTTTAATTTCTACTGCTGATGTGATCATTTCATACATTGGTCTGTCAGATAAGGCCCAGGAGCTAACCAGACCTTCATTTTCTTGTCCATAATTTTCTGTTTCTTCATTCTTGGGAAATAATTCAGCAGATGTAAATGTAGAAATACTTCTGTATAATCTACTGCTTTAAGGCAGTCTTTCCCAGATTTGGACCATGCAGAAAAATTGTTTCATCAAGCAGATGGAAGCAGTGCTCTGGAGTAGAACCCATTGATTGTTCGTTAAAATTTAGGCTCTATTTTGCAGGAGACTCCGATGTTTTGAATTCATGTTTCCACCATGCATTGAAATAAGATTTTTAATACAGTCAGGCTGTGCGATTGTTTTTGTATTTATTGTATTTTGTATTATAATTTAATATAAAAGTCAAAACACTTTCCCTTTCATGTACTAGACTAAAACCAAAGCAATGAAGTTGAAACGAAGGGTTCTAACTTTACCAAAACCAAATATGTGGATTTAATGAAAATGAGATGTTTTAATTGCATTCCCTTAAAAAAAAAAAAAACAAAAAACAAAAGAACCCCAAGTGTTAAGAAAGTGTTGGTTTCACAAAAACATTGAAATTCTAATTATTGTTTCTCTGTTGTCTGAGAAAATCTTTACTTTCTTGGCAATTTTTAATTTACCATGCCATAATTTTGGTTTTAGTAGGAGCAATTCAGATGACTTTTAAGACAAAATGTAACTTACCTGAAATTTCTTCATGGGAAATCTAACAACTTACCAGTGAATGCAATGGGACTATGGAACAGACTTCAAAGTCTCCAGTGAAAAGTATGCTAGAAGCAAAACATCTTAAAAGTATACTGTAGGGGAAAAAAATAGAAACTTTCTGTGAAAGTGGACAAGTTTAATAAGCACTTTCATCTTTCATGTCTGTGATTGAGTTTTGGTTTATTTCAGCCTGAAATAAAAGCTTTATTCTTCAAGGGCAATAACAGCATGTTTTTTGTAACTCCTTCGCTTTCAACAATAGAGCATAATATTTGGTTCACCATTGTGTTAAAACTGCAAGTGTTTCTCTGACTTCTTTGTCATAATGATTTATTAGTGTTGACACTCCAGGGTTGTTTGTCAGTAGAACTCAAAAGCTCAGGTTTTGTTCCGTCTGGCAGATTACATACAAATTATGCAAATCGCTATAGTGCAGGTTATAACCTAATTACGTTATACATCTTGAACAATGATAATTTCTGTAAGGGAAAGCTGTCTAGCATTTTAGTCACTAATGTATTTTTTTCTCCTTTTTGTATTCTACAAAAGAAACCACATTAAAAAGTGATAGTATGCGTGCAGGTTTTGCTGCTGTGCATCTTATCTGCTTCTGCTGCTAAAATATGTGAAAGCAACATAGCAGTCAAATTGCCTATGTTTATATGGTTAGTGGCTTTTCTGATGCAAACCTGATTTTTTCAGACCTCGAGAATGTGGTGATTCTGACTGGACTGAGGGCAATTTCAGACACTTGCTGTCAAAGGAATGATTTCTGGACTGAAATCACCCAATGATGACTGCTTTTTTTTTTTTTTTTTTTTAATATATAATTTTTGGCTTAATTCCTTTGGTGTGACAGACCTACTGACTCGAGTGTCCTGTTCAGAGCAGAGCTGTATCAAAAGCACGCCAAAAGAAAACTTTCATCTTAATTCAGACATCCCCTTGCACGTGGGCACATTTTTTTTTTTTTTTTTTTTTTAATAGTATAACTTTTGGCTTAATTCCTTTGGGTTTTGCTATAGATATTTGTATGCATGTATATAGATAAGAACATGCATATACATTATATTAGCCAGCACAAACGCTTTATTAACAAGAGTGATTGGACTTACGTGTTTACGCACCTTTAGACAGACTTTCCTTCTGCAGAATTATGGATTGAAATGCAGATCAAGTCAATCAAGACAAAGGTTTCATACTGAAGAAATGAGTGATTCATAGTCCACAGAATCAGCAGGTGAAGGAGACCAGTACTAGCCTGACCACAGTTGGTCTCCCTATTAACTGTGTTTGGCACAGAATGAGGACCAACTGTCAACGATGAGTCAGGGTTGAGGTGTGGTGACAGGCCAGGATTGGGACTTGTGTTTTATCATATCTGAGGTTAGAAGGAAGACATCTGATTTCAGGACTGATAACCTTAAGTTACATGCATGTGGTATGTATTAAGTGTTTACTTGAAAAATAATCTTCATATCAAGTATATGCCATTTAACTTTATTTGCATGTCAACAGGAGCTGAGAAATCTAGCTACATTTTTTAACCACCTTGGTTCTTGTTAGGTACTGCTCACTTAAAGTTTTTATACCGAATTTTACGTAACATCTTGTAATGATCTAATAGAAATTTAAGCAGTGTTACATAGTTCATTTGAGCTGCGTGTTCTTGTGTTGCATTGCTCACACCTTATTAGTCTTCTGCAAATGTTCCACTTTTCTTTAGTTTGGCAAGCTGCTCAGAACACCATTTCCTTCTTTTCATTCTGATGGAGTCCAATTGTTCTTTGCTTATACTACATTAGCCTTTCCCAGAATTTAGCCTGGAGTTTTTATACACTGGGGAGTTTCCAGTGTGTTTAGATTATAAAATGATTTCCTAGTATGACTGTGACGGAACCATGCTTTCAGATAATACTGTCAAACTAGATTTTGGTGCTGTTTTTCTATGTTTCTTGCAGTATTTTGCTGTACAGAAATGATGCATACAATCATTTTGTCTCTTGAAAGTGCTATTTTTCAAGTCATTCTCCCGAATAGTTAGGATTGTCCCAAATTGTTCTGTTTCTTGTTAGGTTTGTGTAGATCAATTGGTGTAAGCAACTTTCTTATCAGTCATCTTGAGCAACTAAAGGAAGACTGTGTGATTACTCCACATGTTAATCAGGTGAGTGGATAAATATATTTCAAGTACCTGGGTTTGGGGTTTTGCTTTGGTTGTTTTGTTTAATAATGCCCTGTGCCTGAAAGGCTACACCCAAACTAGCTTTAGTCATACAATTTCTTCTCTTTCATTTCTGTGTACATCTTGAAAACCATTCAGGAAGATGATGTGAAGTTGGGGGGCGGGGAGGGTGGAAGTCCTTCCTCCTTTCTTTTTCCCAGTTTTTCCCAGGCTACTTGTTTATGGCTGGTCTTAAGACACAAACAAATGGTCTCTGTGCTAGTTTATGATGATAAAACAGTTCAGAAATAAAATTCAAGGAGCACTGAACATTTAGCATCTCCAGAGTGAATGGGGTTTCGGAGAGCTTGTGTTCAAATACTATATATAATTCCTTTAAGCAACACTGAAAGCCTCAGGTGATTACATATCCATGCAAGGGTGCTGTTTCCCTTGCTCCCGTCTTATTTCATATTCATATTTCAAGGTCACATTAAATTTAGTGAACTTCTCATTTAGGAAAGTGCTGCAAGAGCCCCGGCAAAATTTTTTTGCTGCCCTAGGCAAATAAAAACTGGCAACCTACATATCCGCAGACTTCCACGGCACAACTTTTCCCTTGTTGCAGTTTTCTGCCCGTAGCTGTGCTGAAAGTTCACGTTCCCATTCCTACAACCTCCTGCCAGTGAAACTGTGCTTATGCTGGCATGGAACTGGAATGGATGAAGTGCAGGCACATGCTTTTCCCCTCTGTACAGGTGGTGAGGATTTCTGGCAGCTGTTTGTGGTTTGATGTCATAAAGAGCCACTAAAAGGTTGCTCAGAACGTGACTGTCAGAACCTAACATCTCTGATTTTTGCTATCCACTAGACTAAAGGTTACTAAAGGGCAATAATGAGTAATGTTACATTAGCCTAAAACTATATAAAAGATTTAGGTTCAGTCATTGGATATAAACCATTGAAATATGTCTTAAGATGGGCAGGTTGATGACTGTTTAAGAATCAGTGAGTTTGCCAAGGTTCAGTTGTGTCTCCTTTTCAGAAATACACATCTTCCAAGTCTTACTGGAGTTTGGCATCAGTTATTACTGTCTGTTCAATGAGAATAGCCTTTCAGTGTGCTACTAAATCACTGCAAGGAAAAAAGATGTAATCTTGGATTTGTTTTGAAGTTTCCTCTTACCCACAATATCCAAATGTTACCAGTCTTACTGTGTTAATAGTGTTAATGGAGAAAAGTTGTTTCTTGATACTGTTTGAGGGCATCTCTTTTCCTGTGGCTGAAAAGGGAGACAGAAAGTTGAGACAGTAGTGCTGCTGGGGGTGGGATAGTGCCCATGCTGTATTCAGATCATAACTTCTTTAAGGTGATGCACTGCATTGTTCCAAATTAAAAAAAAAAACAACAAACAACAGTGAAATATCCATGCCACTGCAAACTGTTCCACTTCGAACAGTTTTGTTATAGCATTAATTTAACTTTTTAGAGTTACAGAAATCATATAAACCATGAAAAGAGTATTTATTCCGTTTCTTGCTTAATGTTGGAGAGTTGCGGAGTCTGATATTGAGATTACCTAAGCATTATCAGATGAGAAAAAAACTCCTAAATTTAAATTGGGGATGGAAGTGCTATATTGAATTCTTATTTCACTGTCCAGAACTTGTCATACAAAATATCTTTGCTGTATTTATGCATAAAATAGTGCACTCTTTCAATGAACTTATTTCTAAATACAAAACATTTGCAAACAATCATTGTATATAAAGTCTAAATATTTAACAAACAAGGAAAATCACTTCTCTCTTAGCTGTGTTAAATTTGCATAAAGAATGTAGGATGTTCTTACTATTCCAACAGTTCTTATGATATTAAAATTGAAAGTTATTTTTTCTGTGAAGATGAGGAAGTAGGAAGGCAGGAGAAAGGAGGTTCTTTATTAGACTTCTGTGGTCTTTGCAAACCAGATAGTAAGCAATGCTGCTTTCTGTTTTACAAACCAAGTTGTAAGTACTGCCTCTCTTCTGTGTTTCTGGAAAAAAACAGTATCATCATGGTTTTTAAAGAAGTAGGAAAAGCCTGTCTCTTCAAGAATATAGTACTGTTCAGGTATTTAGTAGTAAGTAAGCACCTTTTAAAATTACAATCTACTATGAAAAATACTTTTAAACACCATGTAAAATGATGATAAATATTTTAATTTTAGCATCATGTAGAATGAATCCTACAACATAAAAGTTACAAGCTTGTAATCCAGAGTTTGTAATTGACTTGGCAGTAGTAAGCTTGGGGTTTATGCTCAAGGAAGTCTTTGAAGTCTCTTTGAAGACTCTTATGCCTGTCACTCATTAGGGGAAAAAAATTACATTTTATAAGAATTTAATTAACATATATGTTTCATTTAAGAAAACGATACACTGAAACCAAACAAACTGTTTCTCTCTGAATTCCATGTAGGAACATTCATAAATATTTTTTCTATGTTTATAGAAGTGGAAATTACTGTGTAATGACCTTGGAGAGACTTAATGTTAGTATTTCCATTAATATTGAGCTCTGTTATGTAAATTTGTATGAGATAGAAATGTATTTTAGTATTTTGAGACATTAGGAAACAACCCCTTTGTACGTAAAGTTACCTGAACTATTTTTCTATACAGAAAATATTTCTAGGCTTGTATTTCAGTTTTATAAAGAGAAATAATTGTAAGATGGTGCATTCCCATTGAGAAACTGACTGAAGTCCAGATGCAGGGAAGGTTCACCAGGTGAAAACAACCTGCAGCAGGGTGGAAAGAGTAAGACTTTTGTATACTGTCATCTAAGGTATGACTTTCTAGGTCGGTGTATCAGGATTGTTATTAGGCTCAGCTTTTCCCCATTGCACTAAGACTGTTGTAAAAACCGGTGCTTACTTAGAGTTCCCCTGTGACTGACCAAGTAGCAGCTGTGAAGAGTTCTGTAATGTGAACTGCAAACTCTTTTATTAAACAAATGCCAGATTTTACACAAAAATCACTCAGGGTAGAGCGCCAGAAAAGATCAAGATCTTCCTCTACCACTATGTGACAGACAGTCCTCTCCTGAGAAAACTTTGGTGACTAAAATAGCAAGGGTGGGGCAAGCTAGGAAGCAAGAATTATTATTTTGAGGGGAAGCACATGCTGGCCACTCACCCTCTGCCTCTTCTAGCTCAGGATGCTAGCCCCTTGCATTCAGATGCTGCTACAACCTTCCAGAAAGTTTTCACAAGAAAAATAATTCCAAAAGTGCTTATTTTATTTTATGCATTTGATTATTTTAGCAATATATTTAAGAAGAAAGATGCTGCTACCAACACACAGCTGCATGTGCCAAAATTCAATTCACAAAATTTGGGAGTCTCTTGTTTCAGTGAAAGGCACAAAGTATATTTTTTCCAAGTGGGAAACAGTTGTTGCTGTGTGTTGCGCTTGTGGAGCAGGCAGGTGACATCTCAGCATGCTGTTCTTGCTTTAAATTTTTCCAGTGTAACCTGGAACTGTGCTGGCTAAAAATCTTATTAGACAGGCAGGTAGATTCTGCTTACAGTTATAGTATTAATAAATGCCATAGGGGTACTGCAGATTTGTCAGCATTTGATCCTAAATATGTCATTCCTTATTTAATATATTCTAGGCTGTGCTATTTGTTACACATAGTCTAAAGAATGTCTACTAAAATTGCTTATTACTACTGTAATAATTGAGCAATACATCCCCGTTGCTCTTTATTTTTTTCCCCTCATAGTTTTGTGTAAAAACAATGAGAATATTTTCTAGTCAGCTCAGGTGCAAACAAGTGAATAACTGTATGACCTAAACATCGGTCTTACACATAAAAACATGAAATACAAAGGCTACTCAAAGGTCAAGAAACATCAAAGGTTGAAGACATGGATGTGTCTGCTGATTGAACCTTGTTCCCGAGTCTACCCAGTAATTTAGATCACAGCAGCTTTAGGCTGACTCAGCCCAGCCTTCGAGGGGCACAGTTTTTTTTCTCAGCGCGCATTGAATGACTGCCAGCCTATTGTTCCCAACTATTGTTGTCTGAAAAGACAACATGTTCTAAAGATGAGAAACAGGAAATGTTCATTTGTCCTCTTCATGGCAGAAGAAATTTTCCAGATTCCACGTGTTGAGGTAATTGTTCAGAAGAGTATTTTTCTTCAAAATGCGCAAGAGTTAGATCACTGGAACAACATTGACGGCCAGTCACAAAAGTACATCACATGATTCTGTACTTTGTAAAAGAAAACACTACCCATTTGCATCTGATACAGAGGAAGGTATGCTTCTTACAATGTATAAAGTCTGAAATACTTATTTAAATAACATAATAAGGAATATTGCAGAGGTTCTCTTTTGGCTTTTGTTACATGCCAGAATACATGGCTCTTGTGAGATCCTTACTTTCCGGTAACTTCTGTTTCCTTTTGCTTCCAACAACTATGTCTTTGTAGCTTGTTGCTTTTCCTTTTTTAACTGGTTCTTGGCAATTTGTGATCTTCCTTCCTACAAAGGGTCCCCTTCACACTTCATTCCCCAGCGTGATTGCTTCCCTGCATAAGCGGTTGGTGACACCACACACAGAATACAGGATTTTCTAAGCAGAATCCATGCCAACAGAGTTTGCTTCCGAGGTCAGGCCCTCATCCTAAACAAAGTTCTGGTTGGTCTCCTGCAAACCCAGTCCCTGCCCAGTGCTCTCCCCTTGCCTGTGCAACTCAAAGATTATTAGTAAAGAAGCAGGAAAGGAAATAGAGAATGTAGGCTCAAATTAAATAAATGCCAATAAAAATTATCTGATGCTGACTTCCACTATGCATTTGCATATATTTCTCAAACAGTGCAGAACAAGATTGCAAGTCCAACTGCAGTTAGGGCAGGCTACTGCTCCAGGCACCTTACTTCTGGGGGAAGCATTAAATACACAGTAAAATGTCGTGCCAATTAGTGGCAAAATGCTTGTAAATTAATATTCTTAATATCCTTCACATGTCTTCTAAAACTGATAACTTACATTTGTCTCCCAGAAGCAGTGATTTCACTCATGTTGTATTTTTAAGAGAGAGGAAAAGATATTTTCACTTATTTTGATGTTTTCTACTAAATGTCCTCACAAGGCTTTTACTAAAAGTTTATTTCTTTTTAAGGTTGAGTACCACCCTTTCCAAAGACCTCAGGAGCTGGTGGATTATTGTAGGAGCAGAGATATTGTTTTTGAAGGCTACTGTCCTTTAGCCAAAGGTGAAGCACTCACTCATCCTAGTATCATTCAGCTGGCAAAGAAATATGGCAGAACTCCAGCACAGATTTGCATACGCTGGAGTATACAGGTAATGGAGGGTGGTAACGAAAATGTGTCTCCTCTTTCAGGAAAAAAATGCAAATAGTTTGGGTTTTGTGCATCAAACCAGAATTTATACAGAAAGTATTTTTGCCTTCAGTGTGTTGATACCATGTGAACTAACCATGCTGTACTAGAAATTTGGAATTTAGTAAACAAATCATGGCAGTATTTTAAATATGCAAATAATCTGATTGTGGAGAATAAAAAGAACCACTAATAAGAGATGTTTTCAAACTAAACAAGCAGTATGGGACACAATTTCTTATCTGTTACTCAACATGAAGTACTAAGCAGTGAAATAGTGTATTAAGTGGAAATAAACCGTATTTTCTGTGTTGGAATTTAATGCAGTGCATATAATTGCAATAAAATAGCATATAGAAATGTTGGTGTTGTCTGAAAATGAAATTAAAACCTCAGAAGACCTGAAGAAACTATGTAAATTTTAATGATGAGAAGCATTATGTTTTCCAGAATGGTATTGTCACTATTCCGAAGTCCACAAAAGCAGAAAGGATACAGGAAAACTGCAAGGTAAGATTTTGTTATGCACCGAAGTCTGACTAACATCCGTAGTACTGTTTTAATACTTTGGTTTGCCTGCCCGTTTTCTTACACTAGTTTTATATTGGGGCAACTCAGTTGAAATTGGCAAATTATAGTACCATAAAATTACTGCAATATAGTAGGAAAGCAATAATTCACAAATGTCAGAAATCAACTGGAGACTTAGTCACTGCTTGTAAAAAAAAATATCCATAAGAAGACCTTCCATAGTTGATTTTTATTAGTCATATTTTTATTTATTACTTGGCTGATTGTAGAACATCCTAACGTGGTTATGGTTAGGCCCTTTTTGTGCTAGGCACGTAGGACAAATGGAGGGAGTTTGTATGCTGTGCGTAACACCATATGAACGCTGCAAAACTTTTTGGGGGATATCCCAGATAGAGACCTTCTAAGGAAATCACAGTCCTGCCAGAGCTGACTCTTCCCCTACCTTCTTCCTCCTAACTCGACTTGCGGAGAAGTCCCAGCATGAAAGAGATGGGCAAAGATAAGTGGGGAACAAATGAGGAGAGGATTGGCAGCATGATTTCCCCACCCTTTTTTTTTTTTGTTTCCTTTTCATACCAAATGTTTTTAACTCATTACTTAATTTTTCCTCTCCATTTCTCTAATCTGAAAGTGTGCTTTCTTTGGAGGAGGGGAAGGAAAACCATAACAACCTTATTGTTACTTCCAAAAATATCATTGGGGTATCAACTGTTTGGCAAATCAGGAAGAAACTTTGCAAGATAGGAAACTTCTGTCTGCAAGTTAAATCAGAGTGTGTGTGTGTGAGCGCACGTGTGTGTGTAAATCAACATACATGTAATGAGGATTTCTCCTGGTGGCTGTGTCTGTTTATATAGCTCCTGCCTTGACTATTTATTCTGACGTGCACACTGCCTTCTGCGGTATAAGCACAGCTGTTTGTGGTGTACTGTATTGTGAACCAGATCAGAGAACAAAAACAGGTTAAAAGTCCTTCCTTATTCATTTTTATTTTATTTATTTTTCCAATGATATTTTAAATCCAGATTAATTCTGGCTTTTACAGAGTTTGCTCTGTGGCCCCACCAATTCATTTCACACAACTGAGGGAATGCATTGCAGCAAAACTTTACACTCGTAGGGCGGAGAGGAGGAGGGGAGAACTGGCACAGTTATCAGATGTTGTTTATCACATCTCTCTTCTTTTTCTTTCCCCCATGTCACTGTGTTGACCTGAGTCTCTACCACCTCTAGTCAATTGGTGAAAGCATGAACCTCGTTAAGCCCTCAGTATATAGTGTAATACATAGTATTTCAAGTTCTGTGACTGGTCCCTGGTTTAGGTTTAAAAAGCTTTTACCCTGAGATTTGAACTACAAAGGTCATTCCAACAGACAGTGATTGCTGGATAGTGCAGGATGGGAGGAGCTCATTTGGCAGCAGTTCAGACTCCACAGGATCTTTTTTATTGAGTATGGAGGAGCACTGACAAAGTCAACAGACCAGCTTAAAGCAGCTTCAGTTCTGAAGTGATGATGTCTGAATAAGACACCTACTAAGAAAACACTGACACCGTCATTCACGTTGCAGGTCTCACCACAGAAGTCGGTGGCTGTAAGAACCTATGCATGAAGCCAGGTGGTTGCTTTCAAGTTTGAGTTAGTGCTGAACCACTGTAGCACTGTATCTGTTTCTGTGTTAGCTGTTCCGTGAGTGTTTCATCTGCACATAGGAAAGATAGATAGTCTTTAGTTTGCTGGCTTTGTGAATGTCTTGATACCTTCTAATAATTCTCTTTGGCTAGAGTTCTGAGGAAAACAACTGTAACACTCTTGACTGAACACTGGGATATAAGTGAAATATTGAGCTCAGATTTCCAGAGGGATTGCAGTCAAGTTATTCATATACCTCTGGCAGTGAACATATAGAGAGCTGTCAAAAACAGCTTTGGTACTACCTTTGTCTTGGACCCTTGCCTGAGGCCAGAGGGCCACAAAACCATCTTAACAGAGTCTACAAATGAAAATGAGTCACAAAAGGAGCAAAGAACCCAGTGGAGCCTGTCAGCTTAATAGAATATTTGTCTATGACAAAATATAAAAATTTCCAGAAGGCAAAAATATAGAAAAATTCTGCCTCACATTTAAATGAATCTTGGTCAGTTTAAATAATAGAAACACTCCTGATCTTCTCTATGTTCATGATGTTAACTGTATATGCGTTCCTGTAGGTGTTTGATTTTACAATAGCAGAAGACGATGTTGAAATTCTGAATGGAATGCATGATGGGAGACATGTTTCCTGGGACCCAAGCCTTATTGTGTGAATGAAGGTTTGAGCTTTTTCCTTTGTCAGTGAGCAATAAGTCACACCATGTAATTTAAATTCAGGGAAGGTCACAATAAGAAAATAATCATGAGATTAATATCCGCTATTAATGACAACTGATTTGAAATCCTTAATGATAATGGACAGAAGATACTTTTGAGGGTGACACTTTAGTACAGGGATCTTACATTTCCATCTCAAATCCTGATCTGTAGTTCATTGAAGCCAATGCAAAGCCTCCTAATTATGCCATTGACCCTGCATAGGGCTATTTAATTAAAGACTATGAGGCGATATCCCTTCTTTAAAAATGTAAGAAAAATTGCTACCTACTAATGTACAACACAGGTGTTAAGTATGAATTAATTTTTCAAGTGCTTTGTTAGAAGGATACAATGTATGAAGGAGAAAAAGATGTGTGAAAATACACGTTAATACCATTATTATTATTCCAGTACTTATACTGTACAATATACTGCAAGTCGCCATCAAAAATATAATCACACTGTAATAAGCAGTATCTGAGATCACAAAAAAAGTTTTATGCATATATTGCATTGACCTAGAGAGTTCTATGCATGTTATTTACTAGCCTGTAGGTATAATAAATTAGAAATCTTCCCAGAGAAGTCCACGTACAAATGGACTAAGAGTTGAGCTCAGGAGCCAAAGAGGCATCTTTGTTACTGATCTTTTTCTCTTACTGGGAATTCTGGTGAGTTTTCCATAGCTGTTAGTGAGAATTAGTTTAGCTTTCCTTATGGACTTGTCCAGGAAATCTCATGAAGAGACTATACTGTTCCTCAGTATTTCTTATAAAATATATATGTATATTGAGAGATAGATGTAGATATATGTAGTTTACAGATCTGTTTTGAGAAATGTCTGTAGATTCTTTTATCGGCTGAGAATTCAACTTCTAGTCCCATTGGTTTGATATTTTAGGAGTTCCTGTGTCTAGAAAGGTATGGAAAATCTGACTATGATTTATATTGTGTATGGACTTCCTGAGGCAGTTTTCCCAGTCCTGTTCTGCTTTAGTCATATTGTGAAACAAAGCTCCTTAGTTTTTTATCAAGAAGTGACTTACAACAATCTTATATTCTAGCCTGCATTGTTTGTCCTCAAAGTAGAGCTTCTATACAGTTTGGCTAAAATACAGAAAAACTTACCTTTTTGATAACAGCTCCTCAGAATAATTGGCTGTTTTTTCCTGGTAAACACTTCCACAAAAATTTGTCTATATTTGCTTCTGGAATAATTAATATATTATTTATTATTATAAAATACAAGATAATGTATGAAATGCTATGCTCACTAATACCTGTACAATGTACTGTTCCAAGAAAGATACGCAATCTCCACAGTAAGGTTATTTTCTAGAGTTTCAAGTGTGGCCTGTGTTTTGGGGTACTTCAGTGTCTGGGAATGCCACTTCAGATGTCTAAGAACAGCTATGCACCTGGCTTAACTGTTGTGATGAGGCATTCAATAGTTCCAAAAAGTAAGGCTTATTTATAAAATTAAGGTAATTTTTAGGCTTTTTTGTTTGGCTTTTGCACAAAGTGGTGGCAATTACTAAGTGAAAAGTGGAAAGATTCCCCCAAAATAAACCTTTCTATCAGTGGTTATAAGCTAATCCTGCTTTTGGAAAGTCACTTCATAAGACAATACCTTAGCAATATGAAAAAAACCCAACCTGTTATTGTGCTGTTGAGGGATTCCTTGCTTCACAGTGTATCTGAATTCATAAAACCAGGACTAGAAGTGAATCACGTGCCTACTATTCACTCAATGGGGCTTTTTGGCACTAAAGACTTTCTCAGAAACTACAAAAGAGAAGTTGGAGCTTTACTTATTCTCTAAAGAAACAAATGTCACATCAATATACTATTTTCAACACAAATGATGCAACACAAAAGTGAACCAAATCTTTATATATGCTAGCAAATTCTAGCTTCAGTATTACCAGAACAATGCCAGTTAGGACTAGCTATGTGGCTAGAAGTCCCATGTTGGTCAGAACCAACACAGGCTGTTGGTATTTTTTCTGCGCTTATTTCTGACTGATCACCTCCATGTTCTGAGCTAAACAGAACTAAACCAGATTTTCTTGCTAATCCCCCATATAGATGGCTTTAGGCTACAGTGAGGATGGCTTCCTAATTCATTGATAGATTTCATTGCTTCCTCTGTCAAAGAGATTTTACACTGCTTTTGTGTCTGCATCTGCTTTTGCTAGGAAGTCAAGCCACCGTTTTCTCTGATTTAGATCATGGTATCTAAGTACAATGAGTAATGAAAGGAATAATCAGATAGAAATAGCATTGCTAGAAAAGCATTCTTCGTAAGGAGCTGTTGTGGCATGTTACAATTCTAATCTGATATTTTCCTAACTTCCTTCAGGGTTAATTATTGTTGGTTCAGGACATTTTTCTGGGCAGGGTTGGGTTTTTTTGGTCATCTTTCCCAGCAATTGCTTTGCTACAGGTAGTGGCTTTAGAACTGTGAAAGAGTTTCATTTGAACTATTTACAAAGCTGAGTGTAATTTGAGGCAATATAAGCTTTTTAAGTGCCAGAACTCATCTGACCTATTCCGTCTTTCTCCCAGGTGTGCCATTTTGCATATTGTGCCATCACTAATAGCCATTGTTTTCTCTAGAAGAGATTGCCCCAAGAGACTGGAACCCTGTTATCTCCTGTGTGCTTGGGATATATCACTGGAGACTCTTCCTTTGAATATGGCATTCCTGAGTTTTATACTACCTTAGTTAATTTAAAATCATTGATCAAATCCCCTTCTACTTTTGATCAAGTTGTGGAGGGAAGGACAGGCTCAGTGGCTTCATATTTTGTGCTCCTCTCTACAATCAAATTGACGTTATAGATGTGGTAGATAGTTTTGGTTTTAAGAAAAGGCTGTTGAAGATAAGTCCACATCACTTCATCTAAATGAATGTTTCTGAAGTACTGACAACTTTGATCATAGTATGAAGAAATAAGACTAAAAAGAAATTGGAAAATGAACAGTAGTGAAATTTAGGGGTAGCACTGAGGAGTGATTTTCTGTAATAGAAGCAGAACCTAGAAGACCAAAAAGGATATAAAAGTGTGAAGATACAAAATCAGGACATTTAACTCCATTGTTTACTTCTCCTTTGGTCAGTTAGCCTGGAGGTGCTAAATTTTTCAGATATATATTTTTTTTAACTCAGAATTCATCCCTCAAGTGAGTTCTTAGAATGATATGCATGTTCTTCCTGAGGGCTGAAATTCCTCCTCTCGTACATATTTCCATCAGACAAGCTTTCTCTGGGGAGAAAACTTCTTCACCTTTCTGCAGTGACCATTTTTAAGACACAGCTATGCATCCATTTTATCAATGTAGCCCATCATCTTGCCAACAGGAGTAGGGAATACACCTCAAAATTGGATGCACAACTGATTGGGGCACTCCTTTCTAGTTGAGATAAACCATTATTGAAAATAAGATACTGTTTATCAGTGTTATCTACTTAAGTGCAATCAACCGCCTTTACAGGAGCACTGTGACTCTTAATGGAAGGGAACTTTCTTGAAACAAATGAGGAAAATAAACTGAAAGTCAGTGGAAAGAGTGAGGCCGTTTTCTATGCAGCCAAGTGGCTTCATGTCTGACCCTGAGTGGCCCCCTCTTTCCTTTTTCTTGCTTATTTCTGAGTTCATCTTTTATATTACTGGACATGAAGGCACCTAAGAACATTTAATTGGAAAATAATGGGAATGGTTTTGAAAAGTGCATACTTCAGGAAAATTCTTTTAATCAGGCTGCAGAAGTGTTTCTACTGTGCCTGTCCCCCAACATAACTTTCAAGACATTATTTTTCTCACTACCATAATGTCTAATAAAGTGTAATATAGAAAAGTGTAATAAAGATATTATACTACTAGTAAATTCACAAATCTGTGAAGCCAAGCAGACGGCAAAATAGTAACCCTTCTTTTTGCTCTGTGGTTAACACCAGCTGATTTTCTTTTTAAAACAGCCGTGCTGAACTATTCTGACAGAAAAGCTGATTTTAAACTCGTGTTTTTGAAAATGGGCACAAAGGTGGAGTAGCTCTTGCTGACGCTAAAGAGCAGTTAACTCTTTCCATGTTGCCACACCCCTTCCAAAGCTTTGAAGCTCATCTCTGACTATAGTGCATTGGGGAAAAATAGCAGATAAGCCAACCTTCTGGCAGTTTTTCGTGTTGCTGTGCTAGGAGTCTTTTTCTGTACTTAATCTTTTGGCACTTTTTGCAGCCTCCCTTAACATGTCTGCATTTTTGAAAGACAATGTATTTGCACTGCGTGGTAGTGAGCCAACATTATATTAATGATATAAACGATGCAGCCTTATTGTTTGCCTTTATGAATGGCTGCTTATCCATCTGCAGCATCACATAGGACTAATTTCAAGTGCTAGGACATTATAGAATATTGATGACTTCCAAGGGAGCAGAACATGAGACCTACCTTGAAAACTTGCCACTATCCATTGAGGGAGGGGGAGCACAAAACCTGAAAATAATTTAAATCAATGATGCTGACACTACTTCCCAGTGATATAACAATTAGCACTCTAAACATCGTAGGCATGGCCACCGTTAGGGGTTGTGCTTCTCTAAGCAGCTTTGCACAGATCCAGTGTACCCATCTCGCTGTGCCCACGAGGAATACTGAACAGTGGCTGTGCTAGCTAGGGCCCTTTGAGAATCACTCTGGAGCTGAACTACTAATGGGAAATTCAGGAGTGTGTTAGCAGCATTATGATCCTACTAACGATTGCTCTGGTTTTTTCTCAAGCAAAATAGATTTCCAGGACTTTATAGATGAGGCTTCAAAATTCCAGTATAATGAACTAGTGCTAAGTTCATAACTTGGCTGTGAAATTTAGAGGGGGGGTGGGTGTGGAGTGCACAATTACTTTCGCAGTTTCCTTTCTGTTGTTTTGTTATGTTTTTCTTTTTTCTATGAATTCAATTTTCTTAATGTTTTTTTGTGACCTGGATTCATCCCATTGAATATCCATAAGTATGATGTTGCCAAGATGAATTTACAGTAAATCAGTTGCTTTGGGTGCAGTATAAAGGTGGTAGAAGATTAATCCGAGGCATAGCTGTCAAAAAGTCATACATATACCGCGGTATAAATTCACTTTCCTGATGTTGAATGTTAATGGACTCTTTATATTAATGAAACCAGCTATTTTATATCACATGGTGTGTGAGATTTTTGCATGATTATCATGAATGCCTTATAAACCAGATATAAATACCTTCAATTACTCTGAAAAATTATCACAGGTGGTTTGGTTTGTTTTTTTCAGGAAATGGCTATTTTACTGCTTCCCCCTTCCCATATTAGAGATAGGTAATATCTGTGATCTACCAAATAATTGTGGATTTTCCATCTAAGACTTCTCTTTCTTCATAATAGCAAGTTAAGTTCAGTTATGCCCATTGATGTCTTTAGTTTACCCTAGTATATGACGTAGATTTGGAATTTACTTGACTGGTCGGTAACAGTGGAATAAAAAATTAACCTTCAAAAAGTTTTCTAACACTGCCTTATACAGTTTCGTTGTTGTGGAACTTCTGCTGTATTTTAATACATATATCTAATCATGATATATGTTTTTCTCATATTAAAGAGTGTTATGGCTTTCGGTGCAATGATACCCAGCAAAACTATTGCATGTCACTTTCTGAGCTACTTCAATTCTTTCTACTTGGACTTAAGGTTTTCCTAATGTTATATTCAGCTTACTGATTTAAAAATTAATTACAAATTCTCACAAAAAATGAATATAGCAAACTTTTTACAATAGTCTTTTAAAACAAAAAAAGGCATTTAATTAATATTAATTATCAATCTAAAAAATGAAAATAAAACAGACCACCTAAATTAAAGAATGCTAATACAAAACAACTATGTGTGCTTTAGTCTTTGCAATGTTCTCATCACTTTTTTTTTTCTCCAAACCAGGTTTTTGATTTTAATCTGAGGGAAGAAGATATGGAATTTTTGAATGCTATGAATATCAACAGAAAATTAATTCATCTAACCTATCCACTGTGGAAAGGATAGTTTGAAACCAGATTGTTCTATACAGAAAAAGTGATGCAACTGAAACATTAACTCATTTTAAACTGAACAATAAATTGTTCTCTCAGGTACTCAAAGAGTACCTAATAAATATCAATCAGTGATCAAAAATTGGTATCAATGGCTTGTATTTACTGTTAACAGATTAATAAAATAATTTTGTTTCTCTTTTCTTTGTTGCTTTCTTACAGATACAGAAATGCTTTCAGCATTTTCTCTGCTTTCTCAGAACTTTCTGGCATATTCTCCCAGTATGGGTTACGCTATCTCACAATATTATTAAGTTTTTTCTGCCTGTATGTACTTCATTTAAGGTGTCATTTTCACCCGTTTCAACAAATTATCTTGGTTTTTTTGAAAATATTTTGAAAGGTATTAGTTATTTAATTTTGAAAAGTATTAGTTACTTAAAGGCACAGATAAAAGCATGCTACAATGCATGCGGATCTTGAAAAATTATTCAAAATACGGAATATTTGTTCTGGGATTGCAGCAGAAATCTGAATCTGACTTTTTACGCTGTTTTTTTACATTTCTTCTAGTCAATGAGAAGTTGGGGGGATTCTGCAGGCCACTCTTGGTACTTTCTTGATGAGCAAACCTGTTCTGTTGGTAGTGTTTCAAGGATCTCCTGTCTTGACCTAGTACCTGAGGGAGGAATGGCTCTGGTTTATGGCCTAAATTGCATCAGAATGAATAAAGGTAGGTTTTGCTTATAAAGCTTAAAATTTTTGAAGGTGCAGAAGAGTAATGTGTTGGAGAAAAATCCTTTGCTAATCTGTCTTGCAGGAATTTTATTTATCTTTCCAAGATGGATATTGTTCAGACATTCCTCTGATGGACTTGTGAGTTGTCCAACAGTACTAGCACTAAGAGAGTACAGTCTTCTGGTGGGGTCAGAGGCCACCGATCTATTAGTATGCAGGCTTTGGGAGTACCCCAGCTTGCAGCTTCTTTTCTGACAAGATCAAAGGATTTTCCTGCAAGGAAATTGCCCTGTGACTAGCCAGGTTTCTGAAATCCCCACCACAATAAGTTCTTATCGGAAGTTCCACAAGAGCTCTGGGTTTCAGAGGTAGTCAATATTATTTTCCGTTGCCATGCCCTAAAACATGAGTTTCTGCTCATCCTAAAAACTCAGGTATCTAAGAGCACATACGTATTCAGGATTCCTGTGAACAAAAGCGTCTGTCTCTATGCTTGTGGACATGTTGCAGGCACATTCTTTTAACCAGTTTACCCAGGTCAAGCAACTCTCATGAATCAGTTTGGTGTCCTATGTGCACAGCCCTCCCGCTGGCATTCAGCTGAGACCCGCGGTCTGGTTATTTCTGAAACGGTGCCTGAATAACATTGCATTGTCCTCTCTCCTTGTTCTGACTGTAGGCAATTCCGGAGTCGAGCTCTCAAAGGAGAAACACATACCCTGGACTTCTCTAGCGTATTTCATAGAAGTACAAGCTGCCTTAACACTGGACCTGGCAGTTGGGGAGGTACTGAGAAAAGAGTTCTTGTTCTGTTGGTGGGGATAGAGTATAACCCTGGTGAAAACCACCTCACTAAACACCGGCATACTTTTGGTGGAGTTGGTGGGACCAACCTGAGCTGGCCTCTCTCTGTGTTCCAGCCCTTGTAAGCAGGCTACAGCCTCCGCAGTTGAGCCACTTTAACCTGTCATCTCTGAGGTTTTAGGCGGCAGATCTGGCTTCATTTGCCTGAGAAGAATGAAGCTGTATTTCAGTTTCCTCTCTGCTGAGATGTCAGGAGGGCTATAAATGTGTGTTGTGATCTAATTTTAATGATGCTTTTTGTGATACAAATACCCAGCTGTTTGGAATGGAACTGAAATTGCCCAGGTATTTTACACAACCTCTGACAAGTAATTTGTTGGATGTTACATCTCTGAGTTGGAGCCCTCTCAGTTGTTTAACCAATAACCTAAACATGAAAGCCTGTACATCTGACTGCTGAAACCCTGAGTCACTCTGGCCTTTAATTAAGGCATGTTCCTCTTGCTTAAAATTATGTGAGAATTATTTCCTAGAGGAAAATGCCTAATGAATGTACTTCTATTTAGTCTTTTCTATAAATTAGTGATATAAAGGGGGAAAGCTTGAAGTATCTAGGGTATGTCAGGCAGTTGCAGGGGATACATATGTCAACCTCAAGCATGATTTATCTTACATGCCTTTTCTGACAGTTGTAATTTAACGGCTGTATTTTCCTCCAGGCTCTCAGGAGGCTAAACATCTTTTCAAGTTTTCTAGCTTTGTGGTGGAAGAGTAAATGTCTGTTTGCCAGTGTAATCTATCTGAGTCATTCTGGGAGAGGCGTGGAGCAATTGAAGCATGACTATTAGCATAAATAAGAGAGGGACTCTCTTCCTGAGGGTAGAGTTACTCTTGCCCTCTTTCAGAGGAAAGCTGTTTCCCCATAACAACTGCTACTGCTGATTTACTGGTGTGATGCTGTGAATTAGAAGACCTAATATATTGAGCTCTGGTCTACTGTCATATTCTTTTGCATTTCAATTTGAAGCGGAGTTAAAGAGAACAGAGCAAGGAAGGAAGAGGAAAATTTCTGCAGTAAGTGCAAGAGTAGATTACCAGCAGCATTAGCATTTCACATACACGGCGGTGGTTTTTTTCTTTTAAAAGTTTGAAGAGAGAAGGAATTACTAAGCCTAAACTCACTACTTCTTTCTCAGTCTCAGTGTAATAGCACTGCTACCCCTGTAAGTAGTTGTCATTTTAAATTCATGCTTTAAAACATACACTGGCAACTTTCCTATGTATTTTCAAACGTGTGGGTGTCTTACAGCAGCCTCTGAACAGTCAAAGACATTTTTTTGCATGTGGAAACACCGAGTGGTGTTTGAAGTAGCATGAAGGGAGCCCGCCATGGGCCAGCGCAGACTCCTGCCCTCCTGCCGCGCTGGCTGCCGCCCCTCGCCGCTCCTTGCCCCGCGGGGCTGGCGCCGTACCCCACGCCGCGGGAGGCTGCAGCCCACGGGTGCCGGTGCCACCCTGCAGGAGGGTTCCCGCGGGCAGCGGGCCTGCCGGGACAGAACCCACCTCCGCGCGGGCCCGGCCTGGGAACGGGGGAACGGGAAGAGCCTCTTCCAGGTATTTCCTTACACAGTACTTGGAGCGCTGGTACGCGCGGGGGCTGAGGCGGCGTGCGGGATGCTGCCTTCGGCCCCTTCCCCGCCGTGCCTTCTGGGAGGGGGAAGGGGAAGGGATGGTCCCTGGGGCGCAGGGGCCGCGCTCGGAGTCAGCCGGGCCCCGCCGCCACCTTCTTTCGTGCCGGCTGTGGGAGGCGGCGGCGTCCAGCCCCGGGAACGGCTGGAGCCCCGACGGCTGGGCCCCTTCCCCGCTTCCCGCGGTCGGGCAGGGCGAGGTGGGTCCCGCGGCGGATCTCCCCTCCTCACGCCTTCCCGGGCTTCCTGCTTCGTCCCCTCTTTCTTCCCCGCATCCGTGGGGTCTTGAAAAGCAGAGCAGCCCCCGACGGTTGCTCCCTTCCCGTCGCTCCCTTCCCGTCGGGCGGCGGGAGGGGGAGGGGGCGGGGCGGCGAGGATGGCCCGAGGGCTCTGCCAGCTCTCGGGCTGGTCCCTCGTACGAGCCGCCCCCCCGCGGCCCCACGCAGAGGGGCGTCAGCTGTGGGAGTTGCAGAAACATTAAAACCATCCCCGGCCCGGCCTCCGGAGTCGCTCCGCGGGCACGCAAGATGCGCAGGGCCGATGTGGGCTCCGCGCCGCGCTTGAGCGAGGTAAGGCTCGGGGAGCCGCGGCCGCGCACCGCACCGTGGGGCCGCCCCCGCGGAGCCTGGGGCCCCGCGAAGTACCGGCGTCGGGGCTTTCTCCCGGCGCGTCCCGCCGGGGCTCTCCAGACAAAAGCGGCGAGGGGGCTCCGCGGCGCCCGGCGTGGGGCTGCGGGACAGGAGCGGTGCGGGACAGGGGCGCTGCGGGAGCGCTGCCAAGTACGGGACAGGGGCGGTGCGGCTTTGAGGCCGGGAGCCGTGCCCACCTGGAGCGGTGCGGGACGGGAGCGGCGCGAAGCGAGGGAGAGGAGCGGTGCGGGTTTGAGGCCGGGGCAGAGGGGTGCGGGACAGGAGCGGTGCGGGCTGGGGCCCGGGAGCAGAGGGGGAGCCGTGCCCGCCGGCCCCGCATCTCCTGCTTTGCCCCGCTTAGGCTGTAATTCAACAGCTCTGCCTGTTCTTCTTTCCTTTCGTGATTTCACGACTTTAATTCTCTTTAAATGCCCACTAGAACCTGTTCCTATGTAAAGAGACTTTCCCTCAGATCTGCATTCCTCAATCATGCCCATTGCAAAAGCTTGCAATGCTGAGTATTCAAGCACAAGGTAGTTTTTTGCCCTTGTTTGTTTCAGACCCACGGAATGGGCCTCCCATCTTGCTTATTTACATATTTTTCTTGGGTTTTTTCTAAACTTTTTACCGCTCCAGGTTTTGTAAAGCACATTCTTTTATTTAGCAAGGGCACCCCTTTCCTGTTTACAGCCTTGAGACGATCACTCGCTTATAGATACATCAGTGGATTCACCACTGGTCGAGATGGCATCAGTAAATTGCATAATTGCCCCCTGCCAAAACTCTATTAATGGATGAGAATACAGGTCTCCTGCCAGGTGATTTCTGTGCAGGCTTTCGTGCATTTGCAGTTAAATCAAATCAAGCCCTTTCCCTTTCTAAATCTCTGCTGTTGTATTACAAGGTGTGTTTCCTACTGAAGAAAAAGATCCAGTAGAACTTCTTGCTGGGGAGCTTTGAGATGTTTCACACTGAAAAGTCCAGTAATGCAGTCCTTGCCGACTCCAAGTTACCTGTTTAGCTCTGCATGACAGAACTTTTTTTTT